AGCAAGCCAGACACTGCACACAGTGACCCGTGTGTGTCCCAACTCACACAGAATCTAACACCATCTCCCTGGGCCTTTCATCCCAAGTCTCACAAAATTCAACAATGAGTTCCTCAGGTACCAAACCTGCCAAAACCTCACAAAACCTGCTGTTGGAGTATGGTAGGTTTTGGGCAGTTAGGGGTAAAGGTACCAGGGTATCTGTCACACTCCCCATTCAGTCATGTGATTCTAATGGAAGTGGGCTTGACCACAACACTCCTCCCATATCCACTCTCCCACCCCTTCTCAACCTCTTGAAGCCATCCATTCTGGCTTGTTAACTTGCTGTGACCTCTCTCAACCTCATTCCCAGGTCCATGCCCTACACATACGTCAAGGATGATAGCCTCAAAGGTGTCCCGCTGAAGATATTTGGTGTGGCTCCCTGGGCCTATCAAAATAGCACTACCTACCCTCCCAATCAAGGCTTTAACATTACCCCCGATGAAGTGCCACGGGGACTCATGAGAATTGATCCATGCCGATACGGTAAGACTTTATCACATACAATTTGAGTTTCACTTTTATCTCTACGCATGTGTAGTTCTGAAAAGAACTTTGCTGTGTCCGGTGATGGAGAGAGCATACTGTCCAAAACATTGGGTACCCTCCAGTTCTTTTCAGAACCACCCATACACACATGTACACGTGCTGGTACATGGACTCACATGAGATATCCTTGCATGGTGCTGCCGCAAACCTTGTATTTGCCATGACGTTCTGCATAAAAAGGTTCAAAGATCATTATGTTACTAACATTCCACAAGGAAAGGCCATTGGAAGAATCCAGGAACATGCTCAACCATGCACCTAATGAGATGGTTGATTATCCAGAACGTGCAGTTGCAGAAAAATCACTTACTAAGCAGGTTTCTTATTACTTTAGTTTGTTGCTTTACCAGGCGGTTCATTTGCACTCAGTGTAAACAGTTCCTCATGAGAAACCACTGTGCTTGATATTTTGTAGACCCTGGGAATTTATTAACTTTTCATCCATTTCAATGTGCCCTGCCCCTAATCCTTTCAGATGTTGTCTGAGCTTGCCGTCACTGTGCACAGTGAATGAATATTTTCAGTTCTAACTTTCCATCAGTTCTCTTCCGAAGTCTGCTGATTAGTGATTCAATCTAAAGAAATCCAAGAAAGGAGAATCGGGTCATGCAGTTGAGCTCCAATTTCACAGCATTGTTTTATCCTCTGAGATTCAACCGACGTGGCCTTTTATGGCAGTACACATGTAATAAGCTGGTCTGTTGTCCAGAGTGGGGCACAGAAGCTGAGCACACAGCACAAAAATGTCCAGTTAACCATCTGCGGAAGGGGGAATTGTAACTTGTAAGCTTGCACTGATCATTGTCTGCCTTGAGCAGAGGCATATCCCTTATCGGTCAAAAAGAGACATGTTGGTGGGGAGTGTTCATTTTGTTGGTAGCAATGTGACTGTAACGTATACATTTCAGTTGTTTGTGAATCAGCAAAGTGCAGTTCCCACCAGGAAAACTGCACCCTCCTCTTGGCCCTACGCAAGCTGGGTTATACGAAGTTGCAAAATATTCCAAGAGTAATACATTTATCTGAAAGTATACCCGAATAAACTTGTGTGACCTGAATTTTTTGTGAAATGCAATAAACCCTCCCAAATGAAAAGTAAATTTCAATGTTTCCACAATTTCAGTCCTGTCCTTACTCACAAAACTTTTTCCAGTCCTCTCCCATTCCTCTCTTCCCCACCAGACTTCAGAATCATTCACAGTATTCTCTACCCTGATCATTGAACTTCCAATTGTTTCAGGAACGCCTATTGCCTTATCCAACCCACATTTCTTTGATGGTGATCCCAGTTTAGCAGGCGGGATAGATGGTCTAAGTCAAAACCCAGAGAAACACAGAAACTATTTCTCCATAGAACCGGTGAGAGGGATTTCTGGCATCAGAAAGTAAAACTTTTTTATTTGTTTACTGCTAAAGTTGGATCAGATGCATTTAACTATTTGTTTCTCCACTGTGATGAAGTGTGTACACACATAGCATAGGCTAATTTGAGGAGATATCTCAACCCCATGTCATTGGAAATTGGTATTCAATTGCTCTGATGTTGTTTATCCTTTGACAAGCTCTGTATTTGCATGCATCCAATTGCATCTGATTTTTAGTGTGAGGTGAAATAAGATTTCTTTCATTGCCGTTTTGCAAAAACTTCATTTCAGTCAAGTTTTATTCTAAAAGACATAATTTCAACCTTAAATTATTTTTCAATTCAATTTTCTGCAAATGTACAAAGTATTCAGAACGGTGACGTCTACTGAACAGAATCCTGTATGGATGTCCATAATGTAGCAAGGAAAAACAGATTCTTGATATTTTCTTTTTGCGCAGATTTTGGGCATGCCCTTTAAACTTCGCATGAGATTGCAGATCAACCAGTACATGCAGCAAGTCCAAGGCATATCGTAAGTCATGCCCCATTAATTACCATTCCCCCTTACTGATTCTTTTCAGCTCATTTTGTGACAGTTTACCCAGCAAAATGGGTCGTGTCAACAAAGCCACTTCTGAGTTCCAGACTTGCTAGAAAATTCTTGCATAATATAAAATACTCATCATTTGTCACCCACACACACTGTAATGTCAAATTTCATCAGGACGCCAAAGTCAGTGACACATCAGATTGAGACGCTCAGTACATGTACATGTACGCTGTCTCCAATGCAAACTATTAAAAAGTGGATTTGAATAAATAGCCATCACAGAATCGATGAGATCCAATCACAATTTTCAGAAGTTGTTCAGTGTTATTAGCAATTTGTAACAGAATTTTAGTGCGACTTTCTGTAAAATTGCACAGACAGTACATAATGACAAAAGCACATTGGAAAATGCCGTGCTCACCTTTAATTTGTCAACAGGTAACAAATTTGAGGTAATGATGTCAAATTTTTTATGGCCTGTAACTGTTTGGTGACCAAAGCAAACTGAAGAGTTGATTCCGAATTTATTTCTTTTACAGGCAAACAGGAAAGGTGAAGACGATGTACATGCCAGGATTTTGGTTTGAAGAGGTAAGAATCAAGGAATGCAAACCCTTGTGTAAAACAGTGTCCATTCTTTTATGGCAACTGATGGATTGCTGAATTTACTTTCCGAGGCCTGATACACAATTCCATCGAATGGATACACAGAGCAGTGGTATCTGACTTGTGATTGCTTTTGCAGTTGCCAAATCCAAAATACTGGTTGTATCCTTGAAGTAAACTTTCTGTTGCTCTTGACACAGAGCTATCCAGCAGCATTAAAAGAAAAAAAAATGGCTCATCCAAAGTCATTAGCTGTAGTACGTGTAGTGGCACATGTTGCCTTATGGCCAAACTAGCCAAATGAACGTAGCAAGGTTGTTGGCCAGGTGGTGAGACATTTACCTTGCATGGAGGAAAGGACAGAATGGATGCCCAACTGAGTAAGCAAGGGATTTTTCTCCTGAGTCTCCCAGACAATAATGTTCAAGTTACATGTGCATTGCTGGACAGCAAGTTCAGAAGTTGCTCCAGACATTGTCAACATAGCAAAATGCCAGCAAAACACTGATGCTGAATATGCTTTCTCCTTCTTTCCCCTTTGTATCTATTTAGGATGTGACAGCTAATGATGAGGTCATAGGTTACTATGACACAGGCATCAAGCTTACTGGGATCATTGCCTTGTTGATGCAGTACTTGAGTATTGCCATTGGTGCTAGTATAATAGTCGCATTTCTTCTGGTGGGATTTTGTAAGCTGATTACAAAAGAAAAGAAAAGCATTGTGAGTATTTTTAGGAGGTCGCATTTTTTGTCGCGTACCCAATTGAACTGCCGGAAAAGAATTAGCCAGGGTAGAGAAACAAACATTGGTAACTTGTTTCTGTGATCAAAAGGGAACATGCTTGTACTTCATTAGTAGATCTGTGCTTAGCTACAGGTGCTGATATGTTTACCAACCTGCAACATCTCACTGCCAGGAAACCTGATTAGTTTGAGTTGTGCCTTGGTAGAGTGCCGCATAGGTTGATACTACAGTTGAACAGTCTCTGATTATTTCCCCAAGTCAGAGTTTATCTTTAATGTCAAAACAGGGAGGTAATTATGGTCAGGCGTTAGCCCAGGTTGGACGTTGTCTACATTACATTGCGACTAACGTCCAGGGTATAAAAGTCCTACAGTTTTTTTTCAACGGTGTTTGTCACATTTTTACCTGGCAAAGACAGCTCAAATGTCATTCACAAGTGCCTTGTATCCCACGTTCCATAAATGCTGCGTTACTAAATTACTAAATACGCCCACAGACAATGTCTTTTGCAGGAAATTTTGCAAAACTCAACACTTTCCGTCACAGTTCATGAACAACCTACGTTTGTCAAGTAGCACACGTTTTCGCATGTGCGAAATGGCCTCCACGCTTGGCCCACATTCTTTGAGCTATGTTGTCTTAGAGCTTGGTCTAGGTCTTCGCTCCATTGGAAATGTGTGGAGAGTAGCGAGACGCACAGACAACAGCTTTGGAAGCCCGTTTCGGACCTGGCCTTATCTGCGACTTCTTCACGCCTACAGCTCTTCCGTGCATGCATAAGGGGCGGTCGGTTACATATACTATGCATTTTGCGCATGTGCAAGTACGCGTACCAGATGAATGTAGATTGCAATGGAAAGTGTGGATTTTCCGCAAACTTAATTTCAACACAGCACCTATGAAATTCAGGATACAAGGCACTTGTGAATGACATTTGAGCTGTCTTTGCCAGGTAAAAATGTGAGATAAAGGTTTAAAAAAATTGCGTTGTCAGAGGACGTTTATACCCTGGACGTCAGTCATAGTGTAAATGAAGACAACGTCCAACCTGGCTCGACAGGCGTATGATCAGTCTTAGACCATGTACGTGTACCTCATTTGTCCAAACTGGAGTTATGCATTGGTCTCCATTGTTACCAGCTAATTTTCCCTGGTTCCAGATATCCTCACGAGGCAAGTACAAGTGGTTAGGTATCAGGAGCTCCCTTCATTTTGAAAACAGAATTTGCAATCATTTTGCCTCGTTTTAGAGTGCCAAATGCATATTACTCTCTGGGGAGGGGGGAGATGAGCTTACTCCTGTCTTGGACCCCCAAATACAAGAACACTCTTCTGGACAACTGAACCCCTCTCTGAAGCCAAATCTACGTCTATTTCTGAACCTTAATGCCAATGTTGTGTTACACTTTCCATCGCGCACAGGAGTTGCTGGCAGCACATTCTGCATTGCTTTGGCCACTGCCAAGTCTTGCTTCTCATCAGAAATCCACGGCAAAGACCTTGTATTCTTTGACTTCTCATAATTCTTACATTGTGAGTTAGTTTTACTGAATCACATATTTCCTGTTTCTATCTCCCTTCCATCTCCACAGATATCAGAACCCATTGAGACCAACTATGATTCCACGCATGTTTATGACAACATTAATCCGGTACTGACCACCCAAAGAAATGTTCAGACCCCATAGCCTGAGGGAGCACATTCTCTGAAAGATGGACTGGCTAAGAGAAGAATGGACCACACGATCCTTTGGCTTTTGTTTAATATGTTTCCCTTGCCTTCTAATATGGAAGGACCATTGTTTTATAATGACAACAGGACTTGAGAAGTCATGATGTTTAGTCAGTATAAATGCTTTATAATATACAGCGATGTGCATAATGATTTGAACATGGCATATTTTATTGGTACTTTAGTTCCTTGTAATGAAATGGCAATCAATACAGCATGAAATGTGTTCATTTTCAACTTTAATGCTTGAAAACTTGTGCAACATGATTTGAACCCTTGATATTCATGAAGAAATTGATATTAAATCCCTTACAATGCCTGATTTACATTTTCACCTGTATTAAATTAAAGAAAGTAATGGCGAGCATAGCTACAGTTTGTAAAAGGTATTCATTTTTGTACTTTTCGCCCTTCCGTCTGTGTACTAACTCTCACCGTTTGGTTCTAAGCTATTCCAACTTTGATTCATCTGTCCACAGGACTTGATACCGATCCTTCTTTGTCAAATGCTTGCATTTCTTTGCAAAGTTCAGGTATTTCACTCTACTGTTCTCCCTCAACAATGGTTTCTTAGCTGCTATTCTGTTTACAAGTCCTTTTTTCTATCAGCCTCCGATGCACAGTTGATAAAACTGCAAAACCATTAGCCAGCATGCTGTTGATGATGTCATCTTGAAATTCTCTGGAGCTTTTCTCTTATCTCCAAAACATAATTATAAGTGATTCACATCAGAATCACTGAAACTTCTCTCCTGAAGTTTCTTCTTGCCTCCTCCACCCGGCGTTTTTTGGTGTGAATCGGTGATCTTAAACCCCTGTCCAGAGGGTTTTACAGAGCTTGGGCTGAATTTATGTCTCTGGTTATTGATCGGTAGCTCCATCCGACATCAAAGAGGGCCTTATTCTTGCCCTATGCTTAGTTGTAAGTTCCTTCTTTGCCCTTGCCATGTTTAAGCCGTGTTGATCTGTGCTCTTGGCTAGTTTTGGTGGCTTTATGTACTCTTTTCCTTGAATAGGGGATTTTCGTAATGCATTTAAAATGTTATGCCTACTTTCTTGACAAAAGGTTGCCGCCGATGACCACCAAAGCTTTCTAGTCTCCTGATGACGGACAGCATACTGTCCGAACGTTGAGTACTCTCCATTCTTGTGAGAACCACACTTACTCACAAAAGAGATATTTTGTATGGTGCTACCGCAGACCTATCACCTTGCACCTTCATCATGCAAAACTTCCAATCTCAACTAATTGTATACAAACAGCATTGCAATCGATTTGGATAAAAGAAAGTTTAATGAGCAAGAGATGAACATAGATGGTTACTAGGGTTGTCTGGATAAAACATCCATAAATTTGAAAACATTGGTTAATGGTTTATTTCACTACAAGCAACTCAATTCAATCTGAATGTGCCAAGTGTCCAAATAATTTTGCACACATGTACAAAACATTTGATGGGTACATGTATATTGATTGCCATTTCATCACAAATTAAGTACCTTATACATATGTACCAAGTGTTCAAATAATTTTGTCACACTAGTGACACATTTGTGAATGTGTGACCTGCTTTTGAAATTGAGTTTGGTTCATTATTTGATAAAGAAAGAGATGAGGGAGTTTGCATTTGGCATAAAAGACCTCTGTTGGTATTCTGTTGCACTATTTCAGTCTTTCGCTTGACCATTTTCACCAAGTTACGTTTCTCATTGCAGGAAAAAGCTTTGAAAATGTCTTTAAAAAGTCTTCCACAAGTTCAGAGGCAAGCCAATTTCATACATCTGGTTTTCTGTGGGGAGCACATGTTGAAAAATTTAAAAATGTAATATATACATCATCCAATATGACAAAACAACAAATCGAAATCCAGATGAATCTTTTGCACCATCCATTTTAAATCAGTGGTACATATGCAGGTACATTTATGTCAAATTCAAAACGTTTGACACTAGTTGGATTTTGCAGAGTGGATCACTGTATGTTTACATCAGGGATACATTTAAGTGTGTTTACATCTGGGATACATCTTGGAGGTTGCATCTTCAGGGATACACGCAGATCTAGGTTTCGGGGAAGGCCCTGGGACAAAATCGGCTTTCTGGATGTTAGGTTTACATTTGGATCTTGTGTCTGTAGGTTGAGGTTCTTACTGATTGCATCTGTGTGACTACATCCTGACAGATGCAGTCATTGCCAACTGAAGTACATTTGGCAGTAGGCCTTACTGAATTCACGAATTCATAGATTGCACATCATGAGTACGCAGAGAGTTGTAGTCTTGGTTCAAGACTCAATTTAGAGTATTTCCCTCGCAAGTGACCAGACACCTGATCAGTACAACTAAGCCATGTTGATGATGGATCAGAGGGTACCATCAAGGAACTGAATCACACACAGTGTAGGTAAATGGGACATGCTTACCCCAAACATTGTGAGCATGCCTCTACCTTGTGAATTAGCCTAGTGCATGCCATTATGCAGTACTGTACCAGTATATCCAGGTGCTCTAACTGTATTGAAGCATCATTGGTATTTTACACAAGTGGACATGAATGGAGATGCCACTTGCCCTCATGTTTTCTGTCCTCTCTGACAGTTTTTGGGAATGTTGCCCACGCTAAGCTATTCTGTCCTTGATCTCAAGAGTCAGTTGCAAATAATACTTTTTCACTGTCAAAGTATTAGCACATTGGCTAAAATACTGGAGCAATCAACTGTAATGAGTTGTTGTAAAAACAGGTCATGACTACACTTGAGAATAGCCCATAAAGCTCATTGACAAAAATATCCCAAAGAGGGGCATATCCAATCTGGATGGACTCTGATTACCGGTAATTGTATTTCTAGGGTATACTATGTGGAGGTATTAAATTAATGGATCCAGGGATGGACCAGTGGGGACCTGCCAGGGGAGGGGCTTTTGTGGGGTTATTCAAATTCTCTTCCTTAATTCCTACAGCATTTAAAAACAAACCTTAAAATTTAACATCATGCCTCAGAAAGGCTGAAATAGGCTACTGGGAGAGCCTTTTACTATTGATGTCATTTGCGCTTACTGCCACCATGCATTGTTACTGTAGGGACCAGCTGTACATTTCATGAACATAACTCAAATCCAGCATTGGGCCAAGACTACTAGAGAACTTAAAAATAGAATAGCAGAAGGAAATCAAGGTTTTCAGAAGGGTTCATGTTTGTCGTCAAATTTCTATGAAATTGTTCATGGAGTCATTTAAAACCTTATTTGAAGGTAATTATTAGATGTGCCATTTCTTAAGAAGAATCCTTTCTTCATAAAGAAATTTTCCTGTAAAGTTTTTTGTTGAAAAGTGACACAAAAGGAATATAAACATGTCCATAATATTTAGGTTTCTTTTTTTTTACTTTAAACAGTTTGATTTGTATCCTTGAATTTATTTGTAATATGCTGCAGTCAATGATTTTGTCATTGTGTATTTCATTGATTTATTTGTACTTTGTAACTCAATGCCTGAAATAATTTGAAGAGAGAAATTGAACCGAGAAATTAAAATGTTAGATACACAGTGTTTGGAAATATGCTATGGTAGCATGTTGTTTTTGTTATTTTTCCTTTTTCTTTAGGTTCCATCATTAGGAAATGTGATTTCAAAATACATGTAATCCCCATCTAAACAAAAAGGTGCTTGGATACACTGTTCACACAACTCGACAGTAATGAAAGCTTTGAGGTTGTCCAATGTCTCACGTACACAGCATGCGTTGCCACTTGATATTGTGGCGCCGCGCCCCTCCGACGAAGGCGAGGGCGCCCTCCTCCTCGAGGCGCGGCGCGTCGGAGATACACGCAACTCACTTCACGAGATCCGCCCTTGCATCGACCGCAAGCTCCTATTAGGAACTACACACACCACCAATTAGCCCCTCAACCTACCGAGCCCCTCAACAACACGCGCACCACTCGAACTTAGGCGCTAGGCACAGTCACACTAGGCCAGTTGAATTACTCCTTGCACAGGACTCTCGACCCTTACCTTGGGATCAGCCCTTGATCAAGCAAGACGACTATAGTCTAGTCGAGTCCAGCCCAAAGATTTGGGTGCGTTCGATTAGCTTCCCCGAACACACCAGTGTTACACTCAAGGGAAGTCTCAACATGAGGCTTATCGAACGCTGCAGTGTGTTTTCCAAGGCATTCTGGGAAAAAGGTCCAGTCCCCGCCTCGTTCCATCATGTACGTCCATGCTCGAACAGTCCATTCATGACGTCATATTACACTCGGGCAGCCTCCAGAGACCCGCTCGCCAGCGCTGGGGTAGTGGTGGCTGACACCAGGGCAGTCACGAAGATCACGTGATGGCTAAACGAACGCTCTCGTGTAAGTTTGACTTACACGTGTAAGCTAATCGAACGCACCCATAGCATCAGCCTGCGCGCGCATTTTATAGCCTTTGCGCTGCTGTGACCACGCCCGCGCACGCGCTCACGTGACCAAGCAGTGACCTCCATCAGAGATTGTTGGTCAGTCTGGTGGACGGGGGAACGCCGTTCATCGCTTTCGATGAACTCGAATATTTTTTCAAGGGTCAGCAATAGTGAAAAGACACGGTTTGTCACTTTTGACGAATTGGACTCCTTTTTCAAGAACGTTTTACTCTGGAAAATATGGGCGGGAAAGGAGCAGTGACAGTGAGCCAGGCCAGACTATTGAGCTACCTACATGTACCATGCACGTACATCGTACGTGCTGTGTACGTCCCTCATACTGTAGAGAACTGCCCTATGCATGCTGTAGGCGGCAGCGAAGCAGACTCAATTATGTTCCAGTCGGAACATTGTCGTGTTTTCGCCTTTTACTGCAGCAGGAGAGGAGCTCAGTTTCGGTACATTCGACGATATTTTTGTCAGTTCACCTATATTGCCAGGACCCACGGGGAACCACGCCGTGCTGAAGACGGCAGCACAGCAGATATTCCGTTCCATTCGGAACGTAGTCAAGCTGTGGGTGTCGCTGCGGTGGGGGCACGGCTTCATCCCAAGTCTTCCGTACTTTCCCACACTACCACAAGTGCCAACGTCCAGAGGGAATCGCCCAGAGCTGACAACGGAAGCATGTCAGACACACTGTTCCATTTGGAACAGTAGTCAAGCTGTGCGTGCCGTCGCAACGGGGGCGGGGCTTTATCATTTGACTCCCCACATTTTTCACTCTACAACTACAAGTGCCAGGACTCACAAGGAACAACCCTTTCCTGCCTCTGTAGCAGGGGCAGGAAGCCATGCTAACAACACGTGCCATATGGTGGACAAAAGAGACCTCTCCCAGCAGCACTTAAGTCCTCCAACTCATAGTGTGTCGAAGCCTAGCCTCCATTTGGAGCTAGTTCACCCTATAAGGTAGGCGGCACCCATGGAGTTGCGCCACATGTATAATTAAGTGAATGGCGAGGAGCCTGTTGATCGGCTCCGCACAGAAAATGATGGAGTGGAGCCAACAAGGCCGCTCCGCACTGATTTGAGTGGCGCCGATTCGGTGCAGGGGCTCTGCGTAGGAGTTTAATGGGGTGGAGCCAACAGGGCTGCTCCGCACTGATATCATAGTGAATGGTGCGGAGCCCGTGGAGGGGCTCCGCACGGGAGTCAAGGGAGCACAGCGGCTCATTACCAAGTCAATGGCGCAGAGCCAACAGAGGTGCTCTGCACGGGAGTCAGTGGGGCACAGTGGCTCCTCACACAAACCAAAGATGCGGAGCCAACGGTGCTCCGCACGGGAGTCAATGGAGCCACTCGGCTCCTCACACAAGTTATAGTGCGGAGCCGGTAGGTGTGCTCCGGACACGCCGGGAGTCAATAAAGCAAAGCTGGTGTCTTCACAAAGAACCAGAAGATCAACGTGTGTTCTCTTGGCCTGTGTTTTGGCTGAAGTTACACCAAAGATGGAGTCCGAACCACGTAAGGACAGGCATGGGGACGGCATCAACACCACCCAACGGCTGTGGGCAGTTGTTGCGCTGTGGCCGTGCTGGCTTGGTTGACAAAAACGGAGCCGAGGTTTTACCGAGCTGGATTGGCCATCCACCCAATTCGTTACTTACCCCATAACACGACGATCTAAAGTGGGAGTCGCCCGGAGCTGCTCCAGCCGATGGGCACACCGGATGATATCGAAACCCCTTCTGCAGAAGCGTCTACCTATGAGGGCTGCTTCCACCTGGAGCGCCCCCACTCTCTCGTTTTCTGGAGAACACCCACCACCGTTTCTGGGAGGAACTCATTCGGCGAACAGAAGTCCACTGGAAGCCACCATCAAGCGGCGGGGTACTTCGGTATTTCTACATTTGCGTCCTTGTTTTCTTAATTAATGTTTGGTTAAGCATTTTTCATCTGTTTTCCTTTTTGTGTAAAAGTCGTCGGTGCCAGCGGTTTTGGACCTCTGCGGGCACCCGGTCGCTGGTGCTCGCCACCTTGTTCGGGGACGAACAAGAGTCCTCGGAGGTGACGGTGTAGCGTCGTTGCCAGTTGACCAGTGGGGGCGCTAGCACGGTTCCACGTTATAGAAGTCATGTGGTGGGCCCTTACTGAGACTCGCTGTTTGGGGGTGTGTTTTGGAACTCCAAACAATGCCAGACAAGAGAGATAGAGTGATAGTAAACGGCCGAGAGCCACAAAAATCCAAGTAGAACATCTTTTTTAGCGTATGTGGAAAGACCCACAGAAGCGTTCAACGTTGCAATATTTTAGCCTCAAAAGGCTACTTGGTTTTTGACACGGTTCGAATGAGACAGGCTGTATTTTCAGGCCTGTGTATTTCTAGTGGTCGAGACATCCGGATCACAATCATAGTTGGAAGTTAACTGGGAACTTGAGTGTCACAAGACGGGTTTAAATTTTTTTTCTTACTTGAGAATTTGTCTAGCAATGGTAATTGTTAACGTTATGTAACTTAGGAGGTTGCGGCCTGTTCAACTAGGATTCTTTCTGTTATGCACTCGCACCGGGCTCGTATCCTTTGTTCATTATAGGCTTACATGTAGTTCTTGCCTCAGTGTATATCTAAAATATTAGAAATGTATTAGTCGGGTAACTGGCATTCCAGGGGATGGGAGGGTATATAACCCGAGCCCACATTGTCTGAATTGAGTTTTGCGGTGTTCGAGCGCTAGCCGGAGTACCCGAGTGTGTCTCGCCGGGTTGGGTTTTCGTCTAGCGGATGGGTGTGGACCTTCAGCGCTGAGGCTGTCGAGTCGGGAGCCACCGAGGGCTGCGCGTCGGGCGGACGTCCCTGTTCCCTGATGAGCTGTGTGAGGGTTGTTTTTCCGCTTGTGGGCGATTAAAGCCCTTTAATTTAGTTTAGCATGCACTGCAAACTCCCGGGAACGCCAGGCCCGAGGATAGGCCCGGGTTATATATATTTATGCCATGTGTAATCATTGATCTTTCAAAGTTAAGGAGAGAAAGCTCGCTATCATAATAGTTTAGTACGATAAATCAAGCCTGGATTCTGGAGGGAAAATTTTAAGGCCGAGAGTTTATTAGAGGGAAACACTACAGGGTATCCTGTAATTCTACCCTATGTGTGCTATGGCAGGGCGACTACTGTCCCAGTTCCTTACGATTCTGATTTTGACCTGACTTTGATGAATGCTAGCCTCAACCGTCACAATAGTCTCCGATGGTCGGTGTGTAGGGACCTACCCAAGAAACATAACAAGCCCAGGCACTTCCGTCTCGCAAAGGCTGGTGGTCCGTTGGATTCACCTCCTGCCATTGCTCTATGATCACCATGATTTACATTGTATATAAAAGAGCTATGGAATATTTATATTGTATTAATTTCTGTGTGGTGTAATATCTGGAGCTATTTTTCCACTTACGGGATAATCTCGTAATGTTTTCTCACTGGGCCCGTTAAACTGACCGATAAGGGGGTGTAAATACTTTAGTTCATTTCTTTCTTGAAATTAATAATTCATTTTTATGTGTTGCAGATCTTGCGTTTTGTCTTCTGTTCGTCTGAGTTATTCCTTAATTTTTAGTCTGAGTGGAGCGGCACTAGGGTTCTGCTTTGCGACATTGAGACAGTTATGACGTATTATCCTCCTCAAGAAAAGCGAGAAAGTTGTTTTGGAAAGAGTCCCCTCACCGTACCAATAGAAGTAACCTCTGGTGTACCACAGGGCACTGCCCTCGGGCCATTGCTCTTCATACTGTACCTTAACGACCTTACGTCAGGAATTGCATCACAAGTTAGGCTGTTGGCAGATGATTGTATCCTGTATTGGGAAATAAAGACAAGGAATGATGTTCAAGATCTAAAAAAAAAACCCACATAATCATGCTCAGCAAATGGGAGTCGTGTTGGCAGATGAAATTTAACAAGTGCAAAATGCTATATGCTATAGGCGTATGCATATTACCCACAAGACAAAAACCTATTAAAATGGAAAACCACTCGAGAAGACCAATAGCCTCGGAGAAGAAATAGATCATATACTGAGTTGGGCTGATCAGTATAAGCAGTGCCCCTTCAAAGGCAAACAAGATGCTTGAGTTACTCCGTAGAAATCTTCACAGCTGCTCTTCACAGGTGAAACAGATTGCCTACTAAACCCTCAGTTAGACCCAAGCTGGAATATCGTGATTGTGCTAGTGTCTGGGATCCGTATCATCAAGATCACAAAAACAGACAGTTCAGCGGAGGGCGGCAAGACTTGTACGCAAAGATTTTCGACCAAGAAGCAATGTTTCCTCAATGATTCAAAATCCGTGGATGGAAATCTCTCTCATAGGCTCACTTTTCTGTCTCCATCCGTCACAAAGTTAAAGTGGGTTCTGATCATTATGGTTAGCTCCGGACAAAATCTTCTGTTTCCTTTTCCCATCAATCAGCACAAAACTTTACAAGTTTTCCTTCATACCCAAGACTCTTGTGAAATGGAACTATTTGTTGGCTGAAGGAAAGCTACAAATATTGATACCTCTAGGACACATTAAGTCATTATCATTAGTAAGAGGCACCCAACACATGTATTAAGAGTCAGCTAGCCACACGTATCTGCAACTTAGAATATCCCTTACATATTTGTTGCAATACTTACAAGAAGAAAAAAGCGCAAATTTGGAATCAGTTACTCTGTCTCGTTTTCTTTTTCTGTCTCATTTTCTGTATGTAGTACGAAGTGGGACTCGGACTGGTTACTCGGGATAAGCTACCTCTTTCACAAGCCCGCATGCTCCAACTTGCATGATCAAGGAGGTAGGAAGAGTACCTCCATGGTTGTATTGAGGCAGGCACAACTGCTTTTTCGACCTCCATGGTTTGATATTTCCTACCTCCATGGTTTGACTACTATTTGGGGGTATTTTTAGAGTCGGAAACGCGACGCCAGAGGAGTGTCCGTCACCCCAGGCTGACGCTGTTCCGAATTTGCATTACTTTCTGTGCGTTTTATGCAACCCTGATACGAAGGCCTTGGAACCGCACGCAGTACGATAGCTAATCTTGGGTTCAAGCCGCCTTTCGCGGAGCCAGGATCCGATATACGTGCGGTGTGTAGTGGGTACTTGTGATTCGTCTGGACGGTGATATTTCGCGTCACAGAATACACAGGAAGGTGTTGAAACCAAGACTACGCGATAGCGTGATCGATGTACTTCGATATTGGCCTATTGTGTAATTCGGGGCCGGTTTTGTCATCTCACCCGACAGTCTGACCGTCATGGTGTTTATATAGGCCTACCCGTCAAACTCTCGGGGGTTCGTCGTCCGTCGGTATGGGGCTCAAAATGAAATAGAACACCAGCGCCTACTCAGCAGTTAATATTCGAGTGCATGATGTGAGTTGATCTCTTTCTGGACAAATATCGCTTGTTACCCCGCCTGTGCACACATTTAATTGCAGTACATTTTGTACTGTATATGTGCACGTCAATACCACGTATCAGCACTGTGATCGAGCATGGTCATTTACTGATTATGCTTTCATACATATCGTTGACATATCGTTTTAGAATATAGATGCAGATATGTATGCAAATAACCGTACAAAAGCCTTACAAAATTTAGTGTTTTCCATGGGTTTGTGTACAAACATAGATGAACCCAGCAGGCATCACTTCTTACTTGAGTCAGTGCTCTATATCGCTCTGTGATATTAGACCATCACAACTTTCGTTTGTCATGAACATGAAGAACTTGAAGAAGTTTATGGGACAGTCCTTATTTTTAGGACCTTGCTGCTATATAGGTAAAGAATGGAAGACCCATTCCAGGCGTTCAGACGCTTCCAAACAGTCGAGACATTTTTGGTGTCTCTCCTAAACCCTCCAGAGTGCTTCACCTCAACTTTCTTTCTGACTCCAAAGAAGTCTGGATTGATGTCCCAATCCGGCGATTGGCGTCCCATCGTGATGTGATGGCGGTGCCAGCCACAAGACATGTATTACATGCCCTTGAAATTTGGACGATCGTTCATGTTTCTTACGTCTGCACATGTTCTACCTCCAATCTTCTGTCGGCAGGTGCTAGGCCCATATTTACTTTAGTTCCACCCCAAGAAGGCGAGTTTTGGAGATTTTAAAATCCTCCATGTCTGAAGGTCCTTTTGCATATGTTGGCGTGCTTGTGTTTTATGGGATGGGCACCTGTTTCCAACAGTATGGCGCCATATTGGATTGTCAGCACGTTAACTACTGCAGAGCCCCATACCTGGCTTGTTCATCATCGTTAACTGGTTTTGTCACCAGCAACTGCAAACTCTCCAGTACCATTCAGCTTTTGCCCTCTCCAAGCAGTCCGCTTGACCTTGGCCTAACTAGGGTTTTTCCACAGGTGCATTGCTTACCACACTAATAGTACTGCAACCCTGACAATTTGATTTGAGGTTGCTAAATGGTGACACCCATCTGAATCCGGGTCCACCCAGGTTTCCTTGTGGGGATTGCCAGAAAGGTGTCCGGAAAAATCAACGCGGGATACAGTGGTATCATGCTAACCGTGTCAGCATGAGCACAACAATATACTGATACATGTACAACATCTCTGCCACTACTGTACCATGGACTTATCACCTCTGTGAGTCGTTCTGCTTCTCAGATTCCGTCTTCCAGTCAAGCCCTGAGTACACTGTTCCCTTAATATCAAAAACTAAGTCAGTATATAAAAAAGGGGTCACTGGATTATACCTCAACGCAAGAAGAATCAGAAACAAAAACAATATGTGCATATTCTGAAGTCTAATTCACCTGATCTACCTGATTCACCTGATCTACCTGATTCACCTGATCTACCTGATTCACCTGATCTACCTGATTCACCTGATCTACCTGATTCACCTGATCTACCTGATTCACCTGATCTACCTGATTCACCTGATCTACCTGATTCACCTGATCTACCTGATTCACCTGATCTACCTGATTCACCTGATCTACCTGATTCACCTGATCTACCTGATTCACCTGAGCTCAGTGCATGTCTGCAGTACATGTACAAGTTGTAGGGAGTTATATTGTTCCAAGATTTCATGACATGAGGCGCAGTGGTTTGCAAAATTAACAATGCAGAGATCCATTTTCCAGTGAAGTTGTCCTTACTCTTCCAGAGCCTGGGACTTTGTACCATGGCAGGCTACAGAGGGCAGCTTGGCTGTGTTGTCATGGGAGCGCTGCTGGTGATTACGGGCGCCGTTCTTATCCCTGTCGTGTGGAATGCTGTCAAACACTCACTGATGTCAAAGGTAATGAAGGAGTGAACCAATCTATTGAAGTGAGGTTAGTTTCCCAGTAATAAATCAAGTGTGTTTGGATTCTTTATTTGAATTGTCACCATTTTAAAGTTTGGTTCTGGAACTGTTGCTGTACTAGTTCTTAGACCTGAATTTCATGTCACTCAGTTATCAAATTAAACGTGTTAGGAATAGAGGTTTGTGGTTGCACCCTGCAAGAAGATCTATCTCTGAGCATGTGTGGTTATGAAGAGAACCGGAGGTAAGTCAAGGTTCCAGACAGTATGCTCTGTCTGTCATCAGGAGACTGCAGAGGGTGCCGTGATGAAGCTGCTTATAATGTGTATGGAGATGGTGAGTTGTGGAGAGGATGCTAATTCAGGACGACAGACGGAGCATACTGCCTGGAAAAGTTGAGTAACCTCCGCTTTTTCAGAACCGCACATGCTCAGAAAGAGATATACTTGCAAGTTGCTACCGCAAACCTCTTCATCTAACTTGCCACCGTCACCATAGAAAGCTTCGAAGCTCATAAAAACGTATGTGTAGAAGTGTCTACATTGAGACCCAAATTAGAAAGTAATGTACCTGTAACCATTATTTTTGCATTTGAGGATGGTGTTTCACGGAGCACAATCCATTGAGGGCTTGATCTAAACCCAGGATTTATTTGAAACTTGTAGCTCATGGTATTGGAGCCTTCATCAATGGTCTACAGTATTTGGAAGGAGCCCCCTTTCATCATCTACTGGAGGTTCTACTTTTTTGACGTGGCCAACCCAGCTGAAGTCGTAGAAGGTGCCAAGCCAAGTTTGGCGCACAAAGGGCCATATGTTTACAGGTAAAGCACCGAGGAGAATCTAAATCTAGGAATGGTCACAGGTTAACTTTCTCCCGTAATATAACTTAAGTTTTTTGAAGATTTCACCTTTAGTTTTTATTGAGATTTGTTGGAGTTTGTCTTTTACTCTGTCTTCTACTGACCAAAAATGGGAAAGTTCATTTTACAAATTGAGGCATTTTCCTGTCCTTTGCTGATATCCACACTGGCCTCAACTTTCTAATTGATTTGTAGTTTTTACCGAAAGTGATAATTTGACAAGGTGACTTTCTGAACTGTGGTAATTGTTTTTTGTAAGCTTTTACTCCAGTGCTTTAAATATGTTTGAAACAGTTTCATTCCTGTGGAGTGTAAGGGAGCGTCTCAAAAAACGGGAACGTTCCCCGTTGGAAGCTAGTGTTCCACGTTCCAGACCAATCCAGGCAGAGTTCCGTTGGGAACGCATGTTCCCAGTGGAACGGTCCTGCTGTTATATTTGCAATTGGGAAGAAAGATTTCTGGCATTCATTTTCTACACCGTGTTTCTGAAGGATGGCAGCTGGAGCGCAGCATTTTGTGATTTACTCCTCAAGAAGGTTAACTTTTGTCCCGTTTTTCCTTTCCATATTCACCACGGCATAGCTTACCATGCAATGAATTGCAGAGTATATCTGGACACTGTTAATTTTCTTGTGTTAATGTTAACATCTGTACTCGCAAGTGTTTTATTCATTCTTGCATGGTAGAGGGATTTATCATCGCAGTGTTTCCACCCGTAAGTATTCCATAATATCAGAACAACAAAAAAGTAGGTTTTTGGAGGATTTATGAATCACAGGTTCTGTATAACCAAGTTTAGCCAATGTTTTCTTGCAGGAAAGTAAATTAAGGGGTACTGTTTTAAAAGTTAACTTCCAGGATCTCTGACCTTTCCAAACCTCACCAAATTTCACTTGCCCATTAGGGTCGGTCCACAAATTGCAGATTGTGGAGTATGCTGTTGTAGGGTTAATGGCACCTTTGAAAGTTATGCCCCGTGTGCTAGACGTCATTAGAGTTGCTGAGTCACAGTGAGATTGTCCGCTGTGTCTGGACAGTAGGCTTGAGCTTTGTGAGTGGTGACGAGTAAGGAAGGAAGGAAGAGATTTGCCTTAGCAAAAAAGTATGTGTACTAACTCTAAAATCTTGTTCAAGGAGCTTTTATAGCAAAGATAAGGCTTGTATGTACATGTAAGCTAGCGATTGTTTGCAGATGTGAATTATGAAGGCAAGCCTTGGAAAGCAAAACAATATCATGCAAAAGTGTAAAATATGAATCAGATGTAAAATTAAAGTGGGTGATATGAGTGCCAGTAATCCTCCAGACATGGATATGCCACAGTGTCCTGCAAGACAGCTGTCTCTCTTGCAATTTAAGAGCCCATGCTCCGCTGGTACTTCGCAGGCTGCATACTCCAGGTGTCGATGGGTGGCATTCTGTCTCGCCAATCACTTCACGACTCATCACACCAAAATAAAATAACTAAAAAAGAACAAGTATGGAGTGCGCAAGGTGAGATGTGAGTGAATACACATAGGTTGTGGATGTACAAAGTGGAAATGAAAGTTGCATGAGGACAGATGTTAAATATTAATACTTTTGATAAAGTTCAGCAAGTGGGAAATATTGTAGGTGGAGTTAAAGCATGCAAAGAGATTGTTAAGTGTGCTTTACTTTTAGAAATACTTTAGTTGTGAGTAAATTGCAATCAAGAATTTGGAAAAATACTTCACTGCTCTTATCAAATGTTTTGCTTGGCCCTAATCAGAACATTATATGAAAACTAGTTAGCATGCAAATACTTGTTGTCGGCCTTTTCAATCCCATTCAGCCAAGAGCGTACAGGTAATTTCAACATAGTGTGCTTCAGATAGAGAATTGAGCTATGGGTGAGCAAGGGCAGTTGGTTTTATAAAGAACTTTCATACAAGAAATCTCAGATATTGTCATTTCTTTGCTATATTTCATTGTATAGGCTAGAGATGCACCGACAGAACCTGACCTTGAATAGCAACAGTACTATATCTAACATGCCAGTCTACAGCTACTTCTTTGAGCCAGGAATGTCGGTGGGTCCAGAGTCGGACTCTTTCACGGCTGTCAATGTGCCCTATGTTGTGAGTATCAGGTTTGTGTAGGTCTGTAGCAAATGGCCCAGGTTGGTGAAATGGATACTGCTGTTTGTCAATGGACTGTAGTGGGAGAATACAGTTAACAAGACCCAAATTTGGACTGGCAAGCAATTGATTGTTAGTAAGATATTTCTCAGTACTGTTGCTTGTTTCTCTTCTGTGATATTCACTGCATTCATTCAGCAGTATTGTGCAATGACTTAATTGCAAATATATTTGTATAAAGGAGCCTCTGTTGCTAAGAAAATTGTGCACTCTCTTGGTCAAGCTCGAGGTCATAGTATAATTCAGACTTGGTATGGCGTTTATTGTTCTCCACAGACGGTTGCTCACATGCTAGATTGGCTACCCAAAGAAGCTAAAGAGGCACTGAGTCTCCTGTTAGATGGAATGCATGAGCATCTCTTTAAAACGTTAACTGTCAGGGAGCTTCTCTGGGGATACGAAGATGAGGTTTTGAAGATAGCCAGCAGATTTTTTACAATTCCAGGAATGCCGGGCGGCAAATTTGGCTTCCTTGTGGATGTGAGTCATTGCTTTTCTTCCTTTTGTTTTGAGGTAACAAAGAGCTGTGAAATATGGTGTCAGACCAAGAGGAAGAGAATAACGGAGAAAGCTCTCATTTTAATAAAAGCATCTCCTGCTCTCATGTCTTCATCAGCAAAACGGAAGTGCCCATGATGATTTCACAGTATTTTCAGGAAAGGAGGTGCGATCCCGGATCAACCTAATCCAGCGGTGGAACGGGAATGATAAGTTAACCTGGTGGTTAACTCCAGAGGCCAATATGATCAATGGCACAGGTAGGTCAAAGGTCATTTTGCTACAGACGTCATTAAGTGAATTTCATTTTGAACTCAAATTGGTCTACTTTATTTTCACTTGGTGCTCTTCATAAACTGTAAGAGGAGCACTTCCCCGACAAGTTTGAGTAACAATCATTTGGCGACCACAGGTCTATTCTCCTCGGTAACCTATCATATGCACAAAATACATCCTGGGTACCAGAGAAAAATTGATCGGTGTTGATTGCGTATCTCCGCAGTGGTCCAGAATTGTGAAAGAAGTACCCATGAAATATTGTTCTTGTACAGTGAAAAGGGTACTGACTAGATTATTGTGCTGTGCATATTAGACAAAAACTGAACATCAAATGGCATTGGGCAAAATCAATAAAAGCTCATTTCATTTGACAGTAGGGTACGTAAGAGAATTGTATTCCTTCTAGATCTATTAATAGTGCCAGCCTTGCCCTCAGTGTTGTATAACTAATGCTGTCGGTTGTTTTTCTTCAAGTTAAGTCTTAAATCTAGTCAGTTTTGTAAGCTAGGTTTCAAGGGAAAGAAATATTGTCACTCAAGTCCAAGACAGAAACTTTAATTGGCAACAACTTCCTCTCATACTGTGTAATTAGTATATTTAGAGCAAACGTGGCATTTACCAAAACTTCTTTATATTTTCTTATACCTTTGCAGATGGTGTAATGTTTCATTCATTTGTTACAGAGAAGGATACGTTATATTTGTTTCAGCCAACTTTATGCAGGTAAACAATTTATTTTCGGAAATAATTAAAAGTTTCATGTACATGCTTACAATAAAGGCCCTTTTCTAATTATAGAAACTAAGATTTAAAATTGTGTTTTGCTTACTTTATTAAAATGTTTGCTTTATTGAGCCATCAATGAAATGACTTTTGCTGTAAAATTAAATTATGACACCGCAGACGTAATATTTCTGATACCTCATATTTATTCATGACTTGCTATGAAACATTATGACATGGTAGACTAATTTTAATGATGTCATTAGGCCTACTTCAATCAGGCTTTTTCGGACCCTATCACATGTTGGTCCCTATCACGTTGGTTCAAGCGCTGTGCTGTCTGAATGGTCCTTCAAGTCCAGTGCGACTTTACACGTAATATATGTACATATACATTTGGCTTCCATGTTTTTATGCATGATATACCCACAACTCAATTATTCAGTGATATCATCAGAATTCCAGGTGCAATTTTATTGGACAAAAAATGCTTTATTACCGTAATTGCTGAATGCATAATTTCCATAGGAAAATGCATCTTTGTACTGCCACAAGATTAATTTTAACTACTCGTAGTAATGTTTATCTTCTCATAATTTGCAGTCTTCCTACATCTCATAAATTAGAAATCTACATAGCCTGATGTTTCGATCTGGCAAAATCTTTCTGAATGGCAAAGAGCCCTTAAATCTTCATATTAAGCAATCTCCCCATGACTGTATTTCATTCTAGGTCTATGCCCTACGTCTTTGACCATCACAAAACCGTCCGAGGTGTTCCCCTGTCAAGTTTCTACTTGCCGCCAACTGTGTACCAGAACGGCAGCGTGTACCCACCCAATGCAGGTTTCTGTGATGTGAAGACTGAAGACTGTGGACCTTCAGGGCAAATGAGGGTAGACAAATGTCGATTCGGTGGGCCACCTGTTAAAGTTTACCCTGATTTTTATCCGTTCCCTAGGCATTTGCCAAGTTACGTTAGTAGAGCAATCATGTGAAAACATAATCAACAGCTTTGACGTTGACATTCCATGAACATGTCAGACACAGGCTACATGTACATGTACATGCAATTGATGGTTTGGGATAAAAAATGATTAATGCTTGTGAAGTTTCAAAGATTGTGTTGCCTTGTGAATAGGCAATGCATTCATTTTGACCGTGCCATAGTGGTTGTGTCATTCCTGGGTAGTCGTTCATCAGCTCAGATTGTGATACTTCCTTGAATGCTTTTTCTCCTTACAGGTGTTCCAACTTCCATATCCAATCCCCATTTCTTGTATGGAGACAAGTCACTGATTGATGGTGTGTATGGGCTTGCACCAGATCCTAACAAGCATAAGAATTATTTCTCCGTGCAGCCTGTGAGTACACTTTTTCAAGTTTCAGTGGAAGTGATTTGCAGTGCAGTGCACTGCCCAGCTTTTGCATCAGAGAGGCATTTTTTTTTACTTCACGATCAACATCTTGCTTGTATAATTCCACAATAACTCCCAAGTCTTTTCGCAAAAGCAATGTCGTTTGATGACTTCTCCCATCGTGTACTGCAGTATAGGCCCCTCGTGGTGACCTGTTGGTGGCATGCTGCATGCGACTTTGCTTCTATGTTTTGGAGAGGTGCTTGAGAGTGGATATGTTTTTGGTCCGTTTTATAAACAGACATTCTGGGCATCCAGTTGACTGTCTAACATACTGGATGAAGTGCTGATTGCTTGGTTAGGACTTTCAATGCCTGGCTAGTTTGCTCCTTAGCTGATTGGTTGCTCACTGAACTAGCTGACTATCTGGCTATGAACTTAACCCTTCAAGCAGACCAGGTGTGGTAGTCAACTTGTTGAAATTGGTTGGCTTATCAATTGGTTAGTTTAGTTGTGGCTTGTTTCATCACTGATAGAGTCATCACTTGGATACCTGCCAGGTTGGCTATGTGGGTCAGCTGGTAGGGTAGATTTCTGACTTGTAAACGTCTGATCTCTTCTGAGCTCATCCTTAGTTATTTGTTGCTCAGCGTACAGTGTAGGAATGAGTGCAACATCGTTGTCTTCATTACATCTGACACGGGGTTAACTCATTTATCCACACATTCATTTATACATCACAGCTGTAGTTTTGCAGCCAACGATTGGCAAGCAATTGCTAGCTGTCATTACAACATCAAAGGTAATTGGCAAGCATTGCCATAGTTTTGTTTGCCCATTACAAAAACAATTTTTGATCTGTTAAGGTTAGATAACAAAAGTAGGCTATGAAAACCCGGTAAAACCAATAACTAATTTGCTGATACATGTGACCCATCCTGTGAAAATGAGTCACAAGTTGCTAGAGCCACTTTGGAGTAAAGTCCTGATGAATAATTTTGCACAGTGCAAATCAATAGGAACTGCAGCATTTTTCACGATGGAATATCCACTTCCATCAGTATGCCAAACTGAGTGATACATCAAAACAAAAAGCTCAATCTGCTCTTTCCAATACATATGAAAACTCAGAAAGTGGCTCTGGCAACTTATGACTCATTTTCGCAGAGCGGGTCACATATTAGTAGCAAATTTGTTACATTTAAGTTGTTTTTTAAATTAATGATTCATTTACACCATCTTGACTTAGGCTACATCCAGATCTGTTGTCTAGAGCTTGGTCTTGGTCTTCACACCATTGGAAATATGCGGAGACACACAGTCAATAGACCTAGCCATAGCTCTGGAAGCCCATTTTGGACACAGCCTTAGCTTCTATCAACATCCTAATTTTGCCTTCAAATTCTTCAACCTAGTGTTTTCTGCTACACAACCTCCCCCCCGGCTATAAATCTCTCTCATAGGATGTCATCTTTGTAGGAAAATTACAACTGTGTTTTCAACATCATCGGGTGTGTGGGCGCACATTGTGCAAATTGTTCCATACATGTGTTGGTCCAAATATCTTCAAAATATGGCACAGATGATGTGCATCACGAATATTGGAAGTCTAAAATGTTGATGTACTCGTCAATTTGGGGGAGATGATGTCATTTGAGGGAGACCTATATACTAATATCTGACTTTATTTGTATAGTTTACTTTTTAAAATCAAAACTACATTGTTGAATTTCATTTTCATTGCAGATATTAGGAGTGACCTTCGAACTGAAGTTTCGGCTTCAACTGAACTTGTACTTAAAACAAGTGGCTGGTTTTAGGTACATGTAGGCTAAGTTTATTTTTGGTTGACCCTTACTCCCTTATGCCATTTACCCTCTAAAAGTTTGAGTCCCTCAGTTTCCCTCATTCTCAGAAAAGTTGAAATCTTTGTTCTTGCGGCCTCCAAAAACATTTTTACCAAACTAAGCAGTCGCTTCAATCCAGCAATGTCATCAATAGTATCAAAGGGGGTCTGCGCTCAAAGAGGGCTTTCACAATCCATCAAAATAGGAATCAGGTTATGCCCTCTAAAATCTATGAGTGGCATTTTTTACTTTTGCCCCGCACAAGTCAATTAAAAAATTGTGCAGTGATGTCAAGTTCCAGCCATGCAGTTGATTCCAATTCTGTTTTCCCTCATTGGAAAATCTTGTTGCCCACTTCTGCTAGTGATATCACTGTCTCAGATCACAAAGTTGCAACTTTTTTCACTTTGATGGTGTTTTCTCCCCCAGTGACACAGAAAAGCTCATTCCAGTTTACCTTCCAATGCTTTGGTTTGAGCAGGTGAGGTTTTTGTGTTGATATAGTATGCTTTACATCGTAGATGTCCTTTTATTTAAGTACCGTAATTTTCGGAATATAAGCCGTGGCTTGTACGTTGATTCTCGTGCTGAAAAATTGTCTCTGCACCTTATATGCCATGCGACTTCTACAGCAACCTTTGAAGAATAAAATCAGTCAACTAAAGCCACGGCCGGGACACCCATACTGGTGGTGCAGGTATTTTTTTTTGGCTGTCATTTCCATCTGATAACTGGAACCCCAGAGAAAAATTTGAGTTGTCTGTTTTTAAGTTATTAACGGAATTCCCCAAGTCATGGAGTCATGAACACATCCATGAAATGTGTACGTAATCTTAAAGATAACTTGCACTGCTGGGACACCATTTTTAGTGATTATTTTCCCGCTTTTTATTCATTCTCATGATGTATTTTTTGGGTACACAAATTATCATTTTTGTTACTTAGATTTTTATTCTTGTTACCTAAAGATTTCTTTCTACCAGTAAATAAAATCAAGGGCTTCAAAGGTGTACCTTCATGTGGCATTTCGGGGTTGTTTTCACTTGAGTTTTCTGTTGACAACACTTTCCGTGGTCACGTGGTTATCGGTGAGAGCAGAATGGGTCTGCAGTAGCAGTAGGACTAGCCTGAAAACAGAATTTGTCATGATCATGGTGGTGTGTGCATTCAATATTCCATGTACAGCATGCATGCAAAATGAGCGGTTCCAGTGCGATGACTTGAACCGAGGTGTTGTGGTGGATTTTTCATTACTGAAGCGTGTTTGGCAGCGTTTTTTAATTGGTGTTTTTTATCAGCACCACAAAAACTTAGAGATAAATGTATGTAGTGCAATCAGTTACGGAGGTATTTTTTTCCATAAAAGCCTGTCCTTTTGCAAGAAATATTCAGCCTGTGAGATAAAATGATCTTTCAACTTAACTGACTTCAAGTTGTCAAGATTTTATTGTTCGTCCCCAACCACATAACTTTTGCTGACCGCTTGGAAAAAAGGGCACAAACTGATGCACGGCCCAAGCAGGACAATCATCCAGCCTGCAAAAATATTAAATATGAGGACTTAAAATTCACTTATTTTAACGGTGACACTTGTTTGCACTTTTCTTACATTTCTTAGGATTGCATGTATAGTGGAACCATTGATTCGCTGTACTGGCGTTTCAATACACAGCACCTGTGTGGTTGGATCGTCAGCACTGCTGTACGGCTTATAAGCTGGTGCGGCTTATACACTGACTTTAAATCTTAGTATGGCAAATTTGCATGCCGTGGCTTATACACCGGGTGGCTTATATTCCGAAAAATACGGCATTTCCTTGTATAAATTCAGGCAGTATTATTGTGATCCAATTATGTACTTCATTGTTTAACTACATATTTTGTAACGTATGTTCTGTGAATTTCTTTCAAGTAGCCTATGATTTAATACCCTATTCACTTCCACTCAGTAAACTCAGATGCGATTGAATTGCTGCTTACCTTTTCAAGGGTTGTTACAGAAAGTTTGACCTTGGCCTAACTGTTGTTGAAGTATCGAATGGTTTAATACATGGGAGCACTTGAGGTTGCACTCCCTGTAACACTCGAAGGCTGCCTTGAGTTAACCTTGCAGACAAACCACCTTCAAAACGGGTACTTCAAAACGGTGTAAAAACATTTACAATCTTGAGCTTAAGAATACTTCCTATTCATTGGGTTCTTTGGTTCAGGAACTGTTTGGGGTGGTTTTAAAGATGTTTTTTTCTTACAGATGGCTTACATGTATGAGTTGATATAGTACAAAAGGACAGTTACCATGTGCAATCAGCCACACTGTCTTCATTCCTGGCCCTCGAGTAAGGCCCCATTCAACATTACCCTCAATAATAACAAGACGGAAATGAAAGATACTACCATGTACATGTACAAGTCGTGTTTTTAAAATTATCACGCTGCAATGTCAAAGTATGCATAATTGGAAGAAAAATATTTGTAAGAATACAGAATTTTCCTTTTTTTAACATTGAGAAATTAAAAGGAGACAAACACCAAGTTTTTGTTATTGTCAAGTACATGCACACAAATAGACAAGTTGGAATATTTTTTTCCACTGAAGGATAAAGGCCTGATCATTGTGTGGTCATTGTGCAAAGTATAATATATTTCATGAAGAAATATGTCTCTCCGAAAAATCAAAACGATTGATCAGCTTCACCAACATCTTTCCCACAACCTTTGATAATTTTAGTAATGTATCAAGGCTACCAATGAAGTCTGTCGCAGGAAATACATAATTCATACACAGCTTGATCTTGTCTCTCCGTTCAATTCATCTGAACTTGCATTCACTCGTCCATGTCCTGATATTTTCTCTGCACTTTTCAGTCGTTTGAAGCCAATGATTGGATGGTGAACACCTATGCGAGCCACGTCGGTACACCGACTCTAATCTGCCAGATTGGGGAGTACATCATGATAGGTGTTGGTGCTGTCGTTATCGTGCTATCCCTGGCATTTCTCATCAGAAGATACAAAAGAAAGCAAAGTGATGAGGCTGAACCATTGGTAATTTTTTGTTGAATCAGTGGGTTTGGTAACTAAACATTATTTTTTTAGTATTCAAAAAACATATTTAATAAACATCAACAATGCAAACTCAAATTGACATCAGATAACAGTGTGCTCATGATGTGTCTGTACTGCCAAACATTGAAAAATTGTATCGTAAATTAGCAATATTTGCAAATTGTCATTGGGAAAAACATCAGAAAATTGAATTTTACAATATGTTACTCAATTAATGGATGATGTGGTAATTATTTGCTGACAAAAAGTATTTGAATGACAACTTCTTTTCAGGAAGCACAGGAGAGTCTAAAACATTTCATGCCAAAAATCTTGAACATGGACCATGTTGAAAACACTTGCCAGAAAAGAAAACAGTAGCATAACTTCAACAGAGCCTTATTGGTTAAAAGACACTTGTTAGGTACCTGTCAGATGCTTGAATTGTCAACCAACTAGAAAATTAGCATGTATGATAATTTGACATTCAACTTAACAAAGCCGTAATTAAAAATGGAATGATAAATCAATCGAAATTAATAATTGAAAAAATTTGGTCCAATGTCACCTCTGCAAAGATATCCTTTTTTTTTAAATTCAATTTTCAATTGCATAGTTTTGAACATATTGAGTAGTGAAAATTGTTCATTTTGCTTTTTTTGGACGTATTGCCAGCTGTCTGATGCCAATCCTAGCACCAACTACACAGATAATGAAAATGAAGCCAACGTCTTCCCAAGCAATCAAGAGACTGTTCCTGTTTTATAGATGCCAACAGTGCAACCTGTTCATTTCCTGAGGCTTGTTACAAGCACAGAAGTGTCGAGTGGAAAATGCCTGTTTTAGAAAAAAATTAATATTGACAAGATATCACATGTCATTGTGAGAGGTAACCTGTTTTAGCCAAGTAGAAGTTTCAAGTGGCAGTTAATAAATTGCATCCGCAGCAGATTCAGGTCATGCTATTTTGCTTTTTGGTTTTGTAAGGAAAACAAATTTCTCATGAATGTATGATATTTCTCAGATTTTTGATACACTGCCTACATGTATATGAGCAATTGCACTTCATTGTTGCGAGTACTTCAACAGTGTTAGGTTCATTGTCATTTAAATGCCCCACAAATATTCACCATTCTAGTTTTTACGTGCGAGGCAATTGAAATAATCATAAGATAAATTAGTTTTTTTATAGTTATTTGTACTTCCAATTTTTCTATAGGTAGACGTATCAATTTCTTGCATTATAATTTCCAGTAAAAAAATGCAACAAACCAAAGATTTGTTACACATAATCAGGTGAAATTAATTACATGGCAGGGAGTTGAGCAATTCTTGTGCAGTTGTCTTGGTTTGGCAACGGTCATAGTTTTGTGTTTCTAATTAAATTCTATAACTTTGTTGGAGAGAGAAAATGGTGACTGCGGCTGTAGTCGTTGCTTCCCAACAACTCAGGTAATGTGCATACAGAAATTGAAATATAATAAAAATAAAAGTTTATTCATAATGCAATGTAAATGTTCATATGCACTGTACAAATGATGTTTCAAACAATGAAAGCAGGAGAGGTGAAATTGTTAAACTAAATTTACAAGAAAAAGCTAGAAACTGTAGATGTTACTTAGTCAAGGTTTTTCTCAATGCAGTATCTGACCAAGTCTATACAATTTGTGTATTCCCCCCCCCAAAGAAAGAGATCCTTCCTAAGAAGTATAATAGGAGGGGTTACTGTTTTCATATTTGGAAAAAAAACACATGCAGAGGTGGTGTGCTTGCCATAGGTCTTATGCACTAGTTGTCATGGAGACCAGTTGCTGTTTTTACAAATTGCCTAACTCCTCGGGTGCCTCAGCTTATGTGCACCGAGTGTGAGTGACGCCACCTCAGTAGCCGTAGTAGTCACTGCTATGGGACAAGATAGAATGTGTTAGCTGCTTTTATTGCATACAGAGACAGTGACCGCTTTGCCTTCATTCATCAGAGTCGGAGAATTTGGGATGTAATGGCGAGTATTATGATGTAAATATGATGATGACCATGATTTGACTGAAGTTAATGTCTGGATCAGTATATGTCAATGAAAATGCATGGCATCGTGTCTAGTGTAATTGGGGCATTTCAAATTCTTTTGTGAGAGTTTTTGTCAACCTTATATGTTGTAATTTATGTATTTGTAAATTGTATTTCGTGAAGGAATTTTTGTATTGAGTTGGCAATATATTTTTGAAAATTTGAATATTTGCATAGTATTACATAATGAAATATGAAGAGATATTTTACGGGAATTTGAAACAACACGGGTGTGTCAATGGACAAATGCTTTATGCATAATGTGAAGATTTGTGTCATTTCTCTCGTTGTTAGTTTGTGAATTCTGTATTGAGAATGGGAAGAATGGTTCCACTTTTGTTTTTAATTTTGTGACCCCCTCCACATAATCTCATGTCACTTTAATGAATTCCCCTTTTACCCCTGTTATTTTTGTTAACATAAAAAGGTTAACATTGAAATTCATCTGTGGCCTTTTTATTTAAGTTCCTTTAATTGCTGTAGATTCTGTATCAAGAAGAAACTCGACAGCAAAGAATGTTTGGGCCATGGAAAAATTGGAGTAAAATTATTCAGACATTTCATGGTGTTCTATACAAGTCACCCAAATGATTCTCCACGGTCTTTGTAATAATACAGCTATGCAGGTCCTGGTTGTATTGTAAGCAATGTGCATTGCAAGGGGGCAATGTGGTGCATCCCTAACCCCCCCCAGGGGAATTCAGAAGAGAAGGAGAGTGATAGAAAAAAGGGAGGAAAGGGGACAAAAAACACACAGTTGCTTCAAAAGATCTAGCTTGTTCGACCCCCTTCGTTGATAATTTAACCAGTGCTGCCGTGTCCCCCCCAAAAAACCTATTTATTTGCACTATTATTATTATTTATTCATGCCAATTCTTTTTCATCACAAGATGGGCATAGGAGAGGCAAAAGCAATATCAGTCACTGTGGTTTAAGACCTGCCACTCCTTATCAAGTTGTGTATAGAGTAAATAAATAGACATAAAAAAATGAAACACAGAAATACATGTGTTTGAAGCCAAAAGTTAGAACTTAATTTAAAAGGAATTAGGCCAACTGGAAATGAGTCAAGATAATGTACACAACTGAACATGAAATTAAATAAGTAACATGAATAAGCAGTTAATGATAAAGACATAATGAGTAAGACAGAATAAATGCAAAATAATACATGCACAAATATAATACAAAAAATAACAGTAGGTAAGTGCACAATAAATGTAACGAACTCCCAGAACTGCCGACTTATTAATACGCAAATTATCCAGGGACTGCATGCCAGACCTACCTGGGGAAAAGCCCCCAACGCAAATTCACGGGTTCCCTGGGCAGTTTTAATTATATCGTTCTGCCACTAACGCACACCACCGATTTGGACGTATCGGCAATGATCATAGTTGTTTCAGGCTATGACTGTTTACTGTGGTTTGAAACTGATAGAAAACGAAGCCGTAGCCACAGTACGGTCGTATAGACGCGTCCTCTTCTATTCGGGCGGCTGTGAGGGCGCTGTTTGAGGCTGCTCTTGGCCTTGCCCCCGCCGCAAGTATGCATGCTGTTGAACCCCGGGGACCGGGAGTTTGCTGGCGTTCCCGGCCGCGCCCCGCTAAACCGTACCGCGTACGTACACAATTAGGCCCTTGCCGCGGCAGCTGCTGTGTGTCGTTCCTGGGATCCAGCTTTGAGAGGTAACCTATGAGGCTTTGTGGCTGTAATTTTTGTTTTTTAGCAGTGACAGTCATTACTTGAAATGCACTTTTAAAAAACAGTTATAACTTGAAATAATGATATTATTTGGTGATTTGTTCTGGATAATCTGTGTGATCAAATCATTAATTTAAAAAAAAAGCACAGACGCTGCTCATCGTTCATCGAGCATGTCAAATATAGTGTCACCTTGTCATTGCGCGTGGCGCCTGAATGTTCAAGATGGGCAGAAAAAATACGCCAACATCCGGAAAGAATGTTGCGTACTGACTGCACGTCAGCTGTCTAATGTTCGGGGAGTCAAGAAAAGTTTTTTCAAACTTCTCTAGAATTTGAAAAGTAAAATCGGAAATCTTTCTCAGTCCCGTTATGGCCAAGGCTTAGGCCTAGATTCATATCTTTTCAGCATCATGAGCATTTCTGCAGTGACTTACCTACATACATGTACATATACAGTGTACCTAACTGAGATAAATTAAGTGAAGGCAAGATGCAACATACTTTCCCATTGTCCAAGCAGATATCCACAGTAGTTAAATCTATTCACCATTCATGATAATATATCAAGGACCAATTTATTCTCCCTTGGTGGTGTCAATGCCTGTGGCAGTTGTGAGATCTGTCATTGAAACTGTGGAAGTATTTAAGAAGTTGACAGTGCATGACATCGTTGATACTGATGTTCTTTAGCCCTATTGTTTGTAAGCCTTCTTTATTTGTCTTTGTAAGTTTTAGTGCAAGTACAAATATTGACCATATTGGTTACCTCTAAAACCAGACAGCACCCTACATATGTAAAAAAGGTCAAATTCTTTAAGTGTGACAGTTGAAGTACAAGTGTATGTTGTAGTCAGGGTTCCAAGCTGTTACAAGGCGGGAAAGCCTCGCATTCTGTGCAAAACAGATGCAAACTTTAGTATAATTCATTTTATTTTCAAAGTTCACACTTGGCCGTCTTTTAAAACATTTAAAAATCAAAGCTTTGATAGCCTTGCCCTAGACTGGCGTACACAAAAAACAGCATGGAGTGGCTTCATACAGTCCGATTGCCTTTCTTCGTATTGACCTGTTAAAGAGTGCATGCAGCTTCAGGAATACCGGGATATGGGGAGGGCAGTCTTTTGTGATCTGCTCAGCTTAGATGAATGAACCCTTTGTCCACTTGTTGAGACTGAATAAAGGAAGGAAATATGTGTGTGACCCATTTTCTAGCGCAGCCTGACTGCTGAATAGTATCTCTGGGCAGACGCCTCCTCACTGGTAGGGTTTATGACGAGGAAGAGGTTGGGCTGGCCATGCATATTTTTGTCAAATTATGCACCATAATGCATGTATTAAGTCAATCTCACTGCGGGACCTCTAGGATGGGCTAAAAAATGCCCTGCACAGAATTTGGGAAAGGAAATATGTCACAGCCTTAGAGCTGCTGTTATGTTTAATAGACTGATCCATTAAGCTCCGCCCAGTTGTCATGGTTGTGTTCTGGTTCTAACCAATCACAGCCATGATTTAGAGTATGTCCGACATGCGCGCACAAAAGTCTGATATGCGTGCACTCACATACGATGCGCCTGGCTGGAATACGCAGTTTGGCATTGGAGAAAAGCATGTGCAAAGTGCCCACATTTTCAGTGGGTGGGGTTTACTTTTTGTTCCTTTTGTGGATATACCATGAAGCCATTCTGAGTGCAGACATTTTTATTGCATGTGTGTGTTCTTTGAAAATAAAATGTTTAAATAGAATGAACGTGGGATAATATAATTTTTTACAGACAGCAAAATAATGGTGCGGCACTGTTTTTTTTTACCAATCTGCACTGGTACAGAATACAGACACAGATCTAGATATACTCTGGCCACAATGCTGCATCAGCTTTTGATATTTTTAGAAAATGTGATGCTTAAGGTTTGGGAATAAAAATAGCTACTTTCAACAATGTATGTGTACATGGTACCTTACTTTTTCAAATGCCAGAATTTCATTGAATTCCATGTTGACAAAACAAATTCTGTGGGATTGATTCTTGCTCTGTGCATCTACCGGTACGTGTACTGCTTTAATCTTCATCCCAGTATCTCAGCAAAATTCTGAAGACGATTTTACATTTCTTCAACTGACAGTTAAACATACAAGTAGGGGGACATTATGTTATAAAAAGCATCAGTGACATATGTGCAACATTTTGTACTTTAAAAAGGGTTTCTTTCACAGATCACATATAATGACAACATACATGTAGGCAGTATGCATCATTTCAGCATGTACATGCATGTTACTTGTGATTTCTCCTTGAGCACGAGACCCTCCAGGGTGGAACACATGGAAATGGGAAATGAGTAGTTTGAGAAGTAGGCATATCTCTGGAATTCTCTAGTATTCCATTCACGTTAGATTTTTCTTGTTCTTGCCTCCTCCAGCTCAGATTGGATTTTGTCTGGTGACTGTGGGGCTGAGAGCGCGCTAACTCAAGCAAGATGCCTGGGCTTACATACAAGGAAATACGGCAGAGGTACAATTCCTCGAGACTGTTTGAGGATAATGACTTCCCTGCCGATGATAAATCCCTCTTCTTCAGCATGAGGCCACCTCAGAAATTTGTATGGAAGAGACCGCATGTGAGTGTTACCAGGCTTGTGATTAATTAAATAAATGAGCAGACTTTGTGCAGTGACTTGAGAGATTGCATTTCTCATCCATGTATACGTAGGAATAGTGGCCTGTTCCGAGGTTCGGCGTATTGTGCAGAGCTTCATGTAGTGTTTGGTAGGGATAACTCACTTTCAAAGGTTGGCCCTGGTTTGCCCTCCTTACTGATTGGAGTAGGTGGTTTCATGTGGTTAAATTGCATGCCGTTGCAATCACCAGTGCTGTGACGTTACATTTTAGCCAGCAAGGGGTATTTTGTACTTCTGGCCTCTGAGCCCTGGTCTAAGTCTTGTCCAACATGTATTTCTTGTGTGTCATTGGTTTTAAAATCAATGTGCTAAACTACTTTTTTTTTGGGACACACTGGTTACATACATCCCTGCTGTTGCACTACTCTGTATATATGTATGATGTAGATCAGGTACAGTACATGTACATTTAAAAATTTAACGTTCAAAACCTACATGTGAGTCAGAAGTTTGCTGACCTGTTGGGATTTTATGTCCTATTTCCCCCAAGTTTTACATAGTAAATGGCTGCCTTTGTGGGGATTAGTTAGACAGATCCAGTGAAGAGGATTAGAGGCCATTACTGTGGGACCATCCTGTTCGCATGCAGGTACAATGTACATTGTACATGTAGTGAGCACATGTTACCTTCCTCACCATGCTCACAGACCAAATAGGAGTCATGACTTGCCAAAGTGCACGCTCGCTCAAGTTAAGACATGAATTGCGTCTCCTCGGATTTATCTATACCTTTGTCTGGCCATTGCTAGTTTGATGTGTACGTATACATGTACATGTACATGTACATCTTACCTGTAGTTCAGTTTAAGTGTGATTTCCCCAAAATGTGAATTGTTTCACTTTCAGACAATTGTTTCAACATACACTGTATATGTGTATTTAGCGAAGCAAGTTACAATAGATCTGTTCTAGCATCTCGGCTTCATTCTAGTATTTTACTGAAATTTCCATAAAGCCACCACTCAGCAAAAATAAATCTGTCGCAGCCTTTAGCCTACAGTGCCATTAGCATTCTGACATGGACACCTAATAAAAACATGCAAAAAAGAATATCCAAACAAGCAAATACATGTAGTCTGCTCCTGTGCCCATTTGCTTGTGAAAACACATTATGTCATGGCAGGATTCCAGATGATCCAGCTTTTTGGCCACTCATGAGTAATGCTAGTTCATGTAAGCGTTGTGTTACTTTTCATTAACCCTAACAATCTTCAGTCCTCCAACAGGTGAAGGATTTAGGACTGTTAAGGTTAACTTAGCTCATTTTGTGTCAAGTTCTAACCGTGAACATTAAGAGCAGTACAGCCTCCCTTTCATTCAGCAAGTCCCTGACACATTGTTTGTAGTGTACATGTATTGTAAATTTGCTGTTCAAAGCTAATGGATTGCTCCACATAGTATTTTTTTGTGACACAAAAAAAATAACAACAAATTTCCTATCCAGAACTTTGGAACGAAAGAAATTGCTGACTGCCCATACATCTAGGCCTGCAGCGCACACTGCCTTAACAAACATGACAGGGTCCACACCAAATGTCTTTTGATATTTTCAGCCATACATGTACTGTACGTATACATAATGTACATGTATACGTACATGTTTACATCAGTGCTTGGACGTGTATGCTTCTCCAACAATTGACCTATTTTTCCTAGAGCATGCTTCATGTTTGATGTAGGTGATTGTGCATAATGCTTGTGTTGGTATAGTACAAGTACATTGTAAAAAACGCGTATAAGTTGACATTTCTTGTAACGTTCGTAATCCCAAGATTAGATTTTTGTGAATGGGATGAATTACAGTGCAGAGCTAGTACTTGTGACTGGAGTTGGCTGAATGTCTGAAGGCAATGATTGACAGCCTGGCTGCTAAATCTGGCTTTTGACAACTGTAGCGCTCTGACACCATGTGAGGTTGAAATAGAAGTATCCCTTGGCAAGTACTTTTTAGGGGGGATTCACTTTTACCCTGGTGTCCAAGAAGCAATAACTAAAATGAGTCGGCATGAGTCCACTGAAGGGTCCCAGAAAGAGTTGATGAAACTCTATTTAAAAATTCAATTCATTTTGGTCAAAATGTGTACACATCTAAAAAAACCTGCAATCTTGCACTGAAACAATACAATGAACAAAGATTTTTACCAGGAATCACAGGGAAAACATCATATGCAACTACCGTAACTGTAAACATGTCTACAATGTGTGTGTCATTCATTAAAAAGTGTCGTGTTTTGAGCCCTAATCTCTGTGAGGTTGCTAAAGTGGCTCTAACATTTTGTCCACGAAATAGTCAACTGATACATTACTCATAGTTAATGTGTGTAAATCAACTAGGTCACATCTAGTGTATTATCTGCAAACATACCAGTGCAATACAGTAAATGTTTTGTGAATCAACCTAACCACTCCCCTGCCATTATACATGTACCAATATGTTTGATTTCCCTGAACTCTGTACCATGTGTATAGTACACTGTGAGTGTACATGTACTGTGGTTAAGTGAGCTGTGTGAGATGTACAATGTACCGGGTACATGTACTTTATAGGGTAAAGGACACTTGGTCGTTTTGTCTGACAGGCAATTAAGTTGGTATGGTACTGGTACATGTACATGTACATTTACATGAATAAGTATCTCCCCCTCCCCCAAGCTGTGGTGGAAGTGCAAGCAAATGACAAACCACAACACACATGAGCCTGAGCATCCCATTAGTTTTAAAAGTACACGTAAAATGTGCCAGTACATTTACATGTACATTGTACCATAGAGCAAGGAACATACCGGCTGATACTACAGTAGGGCCCAGCAATTCAGTAGCAGTACATACATGTACATGTACAGCCTATTTTATGTGCCTTACTGCTATGTATATGTAATGTGACGGTGTGCATATACATGTACTTTATTTGCATACACTGCATGGCATTTAGTTGTGGGTTGTTGTAAACCCCCCCCCACCCTCTCGACTCCCTTCATGCCTTTGACTTAGGTTCAAACTCTACAAAGCACAGCTCTCCGACCACATCAAGACACACAATGTTAAACTTGCACTTTTCATCGTTCAACATATCCAAATCGAAAAAGTAACGATCTTGAAAACGATGCACACACAAATAGGCCATACCGAGTGCCCAGTTACCTGCAGCGCGACCATTGATTACAGGTACCCAGTTCCATTTTGTCAATTTTATTACATGTACGTGCAACTACCCCTGTAAATCTCAACACATCATTTCAGAAATGCAAGCATCCTTTTCCTCTGCTTACTTGCTGATTGTTAGGAAAAATCTGAGTAAAATTTGAGTAAAAAATGACAATTTAAATCACAGATGATTGAATGAAAAGAAGGAAACTTTCAGGTAACAACATGAAATCTGAGAAAAACAGTAATTCATTAGCAAAACTGTACACCTTTAGAATTTATAAAGAGAAGGAAAATTAGTATAAAAATGTATCACCGTGGACATGGTAGAGTGAGTTGATTTTGATTACGTATGTCATGTAAAGGTCTCGTATGACTCCATGACCGGAGACTTCCGTGAGCCTGAAATTTGGATAACTTGATTTTTCACTGTTCCCTAAAGTTTGGGCTGTCAAGAGTTTTAGTTCACACTTGGAAAAAATTTAAGTTGCAAACTAGTCCCGTGCAATTTTAGTTCCTTAATGCGCACCAGTCATGCCAGTGAGCATGCCAGTGCAGTGTTCAATCCAGCGCAGTGTTCAATCCAGCAGCTAGGCAGTGGATGGGGACGCAGTGGAAAGTACTCGACTAATGTGTTATTGTTATTTTAATAGTAATTACAGGTATCTGGGTACCCGCCCGTTACAGGAATCGGGTACCCTGTTCCCATTCTTCCCATAAATGCACACCACTACACACAGATTATTAGGGGCTGTACGAAATACATGTACATGTATGTAATGAGATACCATTTCACTTCACAGAATGCCTTTGTCGCATGTGTCCCCAAACCCATGCAGTTAGAACTTGTGATTGCAGTCGCAGTTTGAACAGCTAGCATGTGGGTACACCGCATTGTAGTCTTGGTTCCGATGTTTTCTTTAGTGGAAGTACAATGTACATGTACATGTACATGTAATTCATGATGAACGATACAGATTTTTACTGCGCAAAATCAAATTATGCATTACATGTTTGTGTACAAGCAGCATATTAACTGCCAGTTTGGAATGGAAAAATATAATTTAGTCATTTTTGTAGGCTACAAAATACAATCTTAAAAAGACTATAATTTGTTACCCCTGGGAGTGGATTTGTCGTCCCCAGCACTTCCATGATCTTATGGAAGCATGGCAGATGACAACCTCAGAGTTCTTGCTGTACATATAGGGGTCGAGCGGGTTTTAGAACAACCCTGCAGTTATCCATAGCCTGCAGATAATCAGTGGGGCTACATGTTCATGTATGTGTATACATGTACACCTAAATTAATGTGTACACATACGTGTACATGTATCCTGGTATGTACACTTGTATACTCTATGGTATAAGAGGGATAAGAGATACCGGTAATCTCCGTCAACGTAATTATAAAATGATATTATACATGTTCATGTATCTTCCATCCAAGTAATTTGACTGAAAAAATTGAGTGCTCATGGAAGCTTGTTGTATTAACCAGTACATGCATGAATACATACATGTACATGTACCGGTACCTGTCTGTCATTATTGCCTGTCATTTTACTCTACACTGCACTGCTTTGCATGTGTTGGTGGCTGAATATCATGATTAGTCTGCAATCCTGATCTCTGTGTGGTTGTGTGTTATCGCTTGAATAAAGTCGCCTGTGAAAAAAAAGGCCAGCTGTGGGCTCCAGACTGCATGGTCATGCTTGATTAAGTGATGCAGTGTTGGGAAAACCTGGAACAGCATTCAAAATAAAATTTTGCCCAACTACATGTATTTTCAGTCT